TGATATCGGTTCGCTTTCCATCCCTAAAATCACCATACCATTTGTATACTGCACTTTGTTGTAAACCAGTATTTGGGAGAGCGGTTTGTAGTTGGGCTAAAACTACATGAGGTGATGTATCAAGTAAAACATTTATCTTGATAGAAGCCCTTTGTTCTTCGAGGGTGACACTATCTCGAAGTTGGTCAAAATTTTGGGCCTTCATATAAAAGGTCACCAAAACTAAATAGATGAACGCAATTAAAAGTAACGCCATTTATTCTAATCTACACTAACTAGTCTACAATAATTAACAACCACAAGGTCCATCTGACTCAGCATTTTGAAATGAGAAGATAATATAAAAATTCCACGGACTTTCTGTTTCATGTAATAATTAATTTATTTTAGATTCAAATTCAAGATGTATCTAGTGTTAAATATTTTAAATTATATTATTGATTAAATAACGACTTTCAAATATGAATCTAATTATATTTTACTTTACAAATTGATTTTATAATACAGTTATAGTATGATTATTAGAAAAATATGTCATTAATTTGAAAAGTAGATTTTTGATAAATAGCATTTAATAAAATAACAGATTTTAAGAGTAGAAAAATGTAATATAGCTGATTATCATAATAATTATAAATTGTCAAAAAAGTGTTGTTCCTTCAATTGATCCTTGATATGCCAATAGCCTTTATAAGCCACTTCACATATTTGCTATTACAACAAATAAATCAAACATTTTATTAATAGTAATAAAATTATTAAAACTTTTGTTTTATAATAATAATACGAGAACTAATCAAATCAATACAAACCATCATAACTTTTTTGTTCAATTCAAAGGAATCGGCTGCGTTTTCATCGTTTTTTAGCATAAATAGAGTCCCAAACAAACAGCCGGATAGTGTGAATATTTTCATTTCTTTTAGTAACTGCTCTCTTGAATTGATTTTATCGTCAGAATATTGTTTACCTAATATTCTGACCGATTCTTTGATGTAGATATCAATGAGTGATAAAAGTACGGAGTCGTCGGGAAAAGTATATGGCTTTGCGAAGTCGCTTATAGATCGGCCCCATTCTGAGAGTATGATTCCCATATCATGTCCACGAAACCCATAACTCGAATACTCAAAGTCACACAAAACTACCTGTCCATCTGATAGGTCATTGTTATTATTATTATTGTCCTCCAATACCATAATATTAGAGCTTCTGAAGTCATTATGAGTGAAAACCATTGGACTCTTGGACTTTACCAATAATTGTTGAATGAATTCTAATTCAGTTTTGAGATCATATTTCTTAAATGTCTCCAAATTGTATTCATTGTTATTGATATGAATGTTAAGATTGTTTTGTGCCAATCCATAAAATCTGTCCATTTCTGTGAAGAACCAATGGGTCCTCTTAATGGGCACATCCATGGCGTGAACCCGAGCCAACTTCTGGAACACCTCTGTCACCAGTTTTGGGATTTGTTGCTCTTCTAGTTTGAACTGCCGGTGCTATCAAACCAAAC